TACTTGGTCAATATTTTTGTCAGATAAACATGAACATAATTAGACTAGGTCCAAATCTGCTCATTAAGTTGGGAATTTGGAAAATTATTGATTATTTGGGTTCTGGAGAATCATTCTGGATTACCCTGATGCCATGAGCCACCTTTTCTGAAATAGTTTGATCTAAATAATCCAAAACCTGTGGCCCTGAGAACCCAACCTTATGTTTTATCTGAGTTGGGCTTTTGAACAGCAGTTTGCAAAGGACCTTGTGGAAGAAATTAAGTTCTTGGTGAAAATTTGCTGTTCTTTGTTATCAAGACTTTTTGAATTGTCGTGCTAAATTCGAGTTGGCACACTATTAACCTTTTCAAATTAAGCATTTAGTAGGCTCAGCTGAATATTTTCTTAATTTGCAAATTAAAGTTTGCCAGAACAGCTGGCATTATGTTGTGATATTAATTGCAAACTTTGATTGCTGTAGTCCAAGCATAGACTTACCCACTCTGATTTTGGCGATGATGATCTATTCACTGTCCAGTGGAGTCAACTTTATAAGAAAAATAATAACAATACCAGCTAATACTGAGCATTTTCTAAACCCGGAATGATGTGGGTATATTCAGTCATTTAGCACTTTCATCAACCTGATGAGGTTTGATTAGCCCAGATTGGTTGATAAGACAACTCCCCTCCCGGGTCATTAAATTACTTGTCCTAAATTCACAGTCCTAGCTTTAGGACCCAGGCAATCTAGCTGCAGAATCTCTGTGCTCACCACTTTGCAACACTCTCTTAGCAAGTGTCTCAGATAACAAAGAGAGCTTCCATCTCATCCGGTCCAATTTCAGGTGAAGGAGGTGTCACTTCTTTGACTGTGACACAGACTTGAGGTGAAAAGAAGGTAACCTAGCTAAAAAAAATTCAAGCAACCATTCATATTCTTGCCCCCACAGGCCAATCTCCCACCATATTACAGGGGTTCCAGTGTTCCTCTCAATATGGTGCATGCAATTTTGGTTTATTTTTAATATATTTATTCTAACAGTTATATTACTTTAATATGTTGATGAATCAGGACCTGTAGAAAGAAAAGTCATAAAAAAAACAAGGGTGGGAATCTCCCTACAAGGAAGACATTCCAATTACTAGTTGCCTGGAGAAGAACTATCTGTTTGGTCATAACATAAGCACAGCCTCTACTAGGAAGCAGGTAGAAATTCAGTTCCACAGCAGTCTTGATTACCAAAGAACTCTAGGTTTTAAGTAAGGTGGTAGACTGCAATAGTATTTTCCCTGGGCTAGAGTAGGCATAGACAGAGCTAAACCCATGGCAGGAAAAGTCGGATTGTGGAGGCTGTGTTTCTTATACATGTTTCTCTTTTTATATCCTCCTTGAATGAGAATTTAAAGAGTCTTTTGAAACTACAGTATAATCCTGTTATCTCATGAGAGACATGTTAGGCCAAAGGGCCACAGAGCGCTGATGGGCAGCAGTGATGGTAGGAGTGAAGGAAAAGAATCCAGAGGTGACACCGAGATGAATAAAGCGACCTGTGACTCGCTGTCCACCCTTCTGCCTGCTCAGTTGTTCGGCCAATCCTTGGAGGTCCTGGCTTGCATTTTACTTTATTTTATTTAACTTTTGTTTTTCTAGTGGATGGAGTTTGGGTCACTCCTGGTGGTGCTCGGACAAACATACGTAGTATCAGGGATTGAAGATCGAACTAGAGTCAGTCACATTCCAGGAATGCTGCTTAATCCCTGTACTCTCTTGGCTCGCTGGCATTTTAATGTGGAGATAGTGCTCTTGCATGTGTTATAAGTATAAGGGGGTGATTGACAGTTCAAGGCAGCTTTCTTATTTATTGATTTGAGGGTCACACGCCCAGTTGTGCTCAGGGCTTACTCCTAGCTCTGTGCTCACTTACTCCTAGTTCAGGGATCACTCCTGGCAGAGCTCGGAGAACAATACGCAGTGTTGGGGATGGAATGGGGGTAAGCCACATGCAAGATAAGTATCTTAACTGCTAAATTATTTCTATCCCGCACCCTTCCTTTTTAAAAAAAAGTAAATAAATGTAGTGATATAAATGTACAATAAATGTAGTAAATAAATGTAAAAAAAATCTACTTTTCTGGGCTGTTGACAATGCACATATATTTGCAAGTGCCCATTGTGCAAACTGAAGAAAATGTTCTGTATACTGAGTAGATTGATTATGCTAAAAAAAGAAAAAGTTGTAGAGCCAGAGCGATAGTCGTGATAGTACAAGCAGGTAAGGCTCGTGCCTTGCACAACGCACATGATGATAGGGGTTCAAATCCCAGTATCCCATATGGCCCCCCAAACAATGCCAGTAGTTATTCCTGAATACAGATTCAGGAATAAATATCCCCTGAGCATGGTCAGGTGTGGTCCCCAAACAAAATAACAAAGTTGCCTACAAAACCCATTTCTGGCTCAATAAAGTACCATCTGAAGGTTTTAAACATTTTCCTGCAGCCTCGAAAGACTGGTAGGAGAAAAAAAAGAATGAAAGAAAAGAACCAATGGCCTTGTGAAACTAACTAAAGCGTTGCCAAGGAAGCTTCTCCAGAGTAGCGGCCAACACATCTATGCCACTTCCACTTCAATGACCCTCATCCCTCCCTCCATTACCATAGCATCTGTTTTTTTTTTCCTAGAAAAGTGACAATTTAGTTCCCAAAGAAAACAACTTATGTCGGTATAAAAACATCTCATGAGCATTTGTGCCTAATTTTATATTATTTTCCTGACAACGTATTGCAAGTAGCTCTAACAACACACGACTCCAAAAGAAATTTTTTCCAAGACATGAACCACATAAGGGAGGATGAGGCCTCGTTACTCTCTGCAAAATGTACACCGAGTCCTAACTAGATCTTCTCAGTCAGGAAAGCCCCAGAACTGAGGGGCTGTGATCTCTGCTGTGACCTCAGCTCTCCTGAGGCTGGAGTGGGGATGAGGCCATTTCTGCATCTCAGCAGCCTCTCACTGTGGTGGCATAAAAGAGCTCGTGTGCTGAACAAATTGATCCTACAGTTCATTCTGGTTAAGGATGGTCCTCACTACTTATTTCATGACCTTACCCACATGCAAAGGACCTAACACAGAGATGTTATAGTAAGTTGTTACCGGGAACTAAATTATCACTTTTCTGTGTGCATTCCGTCCCAGCCACTGCCACGCCACCCCTGTTAGACAGTCGCTTCGGGGGACTTTTATTTTTGCATGTTGGGTGTGAGAGAAGAGTAGCCCCCCCCCCCCCAAGCGAGATCTCAAATACAGAGCTACAGATAAATAATACAGGGTACGCTTTATATTGCATATGTACATTTTATTAATATATAGACATCCTATCTATTAAAGCTCTAAAATTGGCCAATGAAAAAAACTAGAGCTGCTTTGCAAAACACGTCCATACACTGCCTAGTAGAGCTAAATCTGGTCTTGCCAACTGTCAGAGCTGTTCAAAGAAAACGGGAGGAAGGGGGGGAACAAGACATCATCGAGATAAAATTAGCAAACCCACCTACCAACTGGCTATCCGCGGGCTCACCCAAGATTTTCTCAGCCTTAAACCTCACGAAAAGATTCGTAGTGAAGCAAGAGTAAAGCATGCATTCCGCGTAAGCATGTTCAGAGTTAAAGCATGCATTCCGTAAGCACGTCTTGCTTCAGGCGCCGGCCGGCGGCGGCGACACCGCACAGTCACCGAGGCCCAGAGGTCCTACCTGGGCGCCAGACGCCAGAGCGAGGTGGGAATTCCCCCCGCCTAGAGGCTCAGCAAGCGAAGGGACGCGGGGAGGGGTTCGGGGACAGCAGCCTTAAAGCCTCAAGTTAGGAAACTTTTCCACCGAAAGGCATTATCCTTTGTGAACTGCCAGGAAACTCCTTGCTTCTTTACAAGGGAGTGTTACCGTTTCGTGCCCACAATGACAGGAACCCAAGGACTTCGGGAGGAAGAAAAACACAGATTTACAAGCCTCAGTCAAAGGGTCTTGTGCAGTGTGCTTCTGGAACATTCCTAGCTAAACACACCGGTGTCCGGCGCGTTCGAGCGTTTTCCACGGGGGCCCTGTCCGTTGGCACTTATTCTTTGCCGGGTTGCATTTTCTGGAGGCAAGACCGGTGCACATCCCAACTCTTCTTAATGCTTAGTTGTTTGGGATCTTTCCCAGTCCCCCCCGAGCAAGCCAAATCAGTTCTCGGCTCCAGCACAGTCCCTGCCAGAGGTGGGGGATGTCCCCAGGCGGGGGGAAAAAGGGGGAGGGAACCACAAGGGGGGGGGGGGGGGGTGGCTGGCTACCGGTTTTTAACCAAGTACATAGTTGCTGCGCGGGTAGAATTTGGGGGGTTGGCTTTCAAGCACTGCGTAGAATAGAACTGCACCCCCCCCCCCCTCGGCGGTGATCTTGCGCTGGAAGCGGCCGGGGCAGCAGCTCGGCGGAGTGCCGCATCACCCCCCCAGCATATCTAGCCAGGGACACTGCAGCCCAGAGACGCCCAGGCAGCCGGGAAACACACAGCAGCGCCGCGGGGCGCAGCCCGAAGCTCAGAGCCTCCCCGAAGCGACGCCTTCCCCCCCAGTCCACACGACACTGCACCCGCTTTTGATTTCTTTATCCCCTACCCCCGCCCCCGCTCCCCGCCACACAGGATCCCCCCACCCTTCCCCCTGCGTCAGGCTGTGACCCGAGAAGCCTAGAGTCGCAGTGGCGTCCAGGCAGCGTGCGAACGGGTCGCTCGGCCACCTGTTCCACGAGCTTGGGAGTTTGTGCGCGCTCAGGCTACGGCGGGAACGACCCTCTCACCCCCTGTCTGCGACCCCGCACCGCCCCGATCCCCCCCAAAACGAGTGCGCCCCGCGCCGAGCGCAGCCCCGGGGACGCCGAGACGCACTTGCCCGGCTCCCCGGCTCCGGCCGGGCCCGGGGCGCTGCAGCCGCGCACACCCCCAGCCCCCCATCCGGGGGAGGAAGAGAGCCCCCCAGTACCTGCGGCGAGGATGCACAAGGCCCAGAGGGTCTGGCCGACCATGGCAGGCGGTGCTCGGTGCCCCGCGCGGGGCTGGCAGCGCGGAGAGAGGCGGTCGGGGCCGTAGGAGGCGAGCGCGCTCAGCTGCGGTTCCTCGGGCGCCCCGCGCGCTTCTGCTCCATCCCGCGCCTGCCGCAGCCAAACCCCTCCCAGCCCGGCCCCGACGCCGTGACGGGCTTCCCCCTCGCACGGCGCTCGCGTCCCGGGAGTCCCGGCCCAGGGCGGCCTCTGCTGGACGGTCGGAGCGTCGGAGCCCAGATGCCCAGGGTTTCTGCACAGGTCTGGCCAACAGGGCACCCACCGAGGGATGGAGAAGAGGTAGGGGAACTGATCTCGGGGCGCTCTCTCTTTCTCTCTCAACTTTGCTAAAGAGCCTTTAAACGGGTGCTCTTGGGCATTCTAGGTGGCACCTCGGGGACCCCATCCCCGTGCATGAGCACACACGTTACTTTCCAAGTCCTAGAAACCCGATCCTCTGTATCTCCCAGGGTTCTTGCTTGCACGTTAAATGCACGCACTTCCAGCTCCTTTGGGATGCGTGCTCTTCCTAGGAGAAATACGAGAGAATGCAGTGGATGACTAGGGCATCGTGGTTTCTTGTAACAACGTGGGGGATACGTGTTATTACTCCCTTGCTGATGCGAGGAAACAGACACAGAGATGAGTAATGTGGCTCAAGGTGACGTCAGTGGACTCCATCGCTGGCAAGTTCACGCGCTAGCACTATAATCAAGGCTGTCATTTCCGGAGATATGGAGGCACCTTGGAGAACTCTCAGTCGAGCTCATGTAACAATCCTTAGAGTTGGTCACTTCTAGAGAGTCATTTCCAGGTAAGGAAAAGGATGCGCAGATAGTTCAAGTGTTCTCTGGGGACGTTAGCTCATGATGCAAATTAGACTCCTGCCTCCTGGCGTCTCACCTAGTTCTGGCTACCCTCTTCAAGGCTCAAAGGTTCTGCGCATTCCACAAATCAAAGCTGACCTCGCACTTAACTCCCTTTTGATAACTCCCTTTTGATATGCTTATTTTTCACTATTTCCACTAAACTAGAAGTCTCCTAGTATCTGTCTTATTATGGACCCCGTTGTTCCCCAGGATCTGTAGGGGCTTAATTAGCCTTCCTCAAAAACTGGTTTGTTCAAAACAATTAGCTCCCCAAAACAACTTTCTTTTTCTGACTTCTTCCTCATTTACCAATAACTTGGCTTTTATTGTCTCACCCTTTTGGGGCCTCATCATGTCGTTTTTCCTTTTGTCCTGGTAAATTTATTGACTCTTGTTGGAATGAGAAATGAGAGAGATTTCAACCTAGTGCTCATTCCCCCTTTCTCTTCCCTGCCCAGAGAAACTACAAATTCTATTTATTAAACAAATTCTCTGAATGTTTTTGACCTCGAGGTCCTTCCAGTTCCTAGAGTAATCTACATGATTCTGAGTACTTTCTGCATCTGGGCTGTGGTTGTCATGGAGGCACGGACCACACACAAAATGGGGTTTTGCAAGGACAATCCATGTGTCACTGGTGACTTTAAGTAGGGCCAGTCAAGTAGCCAAGTTTATGACAGAAATAAAGGATTTTGCTAAACCACTTCATAGAAAAAATAATTGAAATTCAGAAAAACTTTAATGAATCCTTCTAGAGAGCAAACCATATGTGACTCTGACTTTGATATCTAAGACAATGGTACCAAAGAGTGATGTTCTTCACATACTAATCAGTGAAAATACCCCATGCTTCTCCTCAGACACAAAATAGAGTTAAAAACAATTACTTTAAAGCTATTAATTTCTTTGGGGGGGGGGGTTTCACACCCGGCGATGCACAAAGGTTAATCCTAGCTCTGCACTCAGGAATCATCCCTGGAGGTGCTCAGGGGACCATATGGTATGCTGGGAATCGAACACGGGTTGGCCGCATGCAAGGTAAATGCCCTACTCATTGTGCTATCGCTCCATTCCCTAAAGCTATTAATTTTTATAAAAACAATAAAGCTTTTTCATTTGTGGTCTAATTTATTGTGCATTTAACCAAGCACCCTAGTCACTTTCTGGGTCCCAGTTCTTGTGCAAAACTGTAGAAATGTAACAGGTTTTAGTTATCAGGGTGAGGCTAGGTTATGCCTATGTAATATATCACCTTTAAATCCAAATGGTTTAAGCAATGAGTTCATTTCCTGAGTATCAGGATCTGCTGTTGGGCCTGGAGAAATAGTACTGCAGTTAAGACTCTTGCCTTGCAAACAACCAACCCAGAGTAAATCCCTGAGCACAGTCAGGTGTGGCCCCCAAACAAAACAAAACAAAACAAAATGCCATGGGTCCTGAGTAACTGAATCAGTGTTGTAACTTCACATTTACTTTGAGAAAACAGAAGCAAAAAGTGGAGAATTGATTATTTAAATTTTCATCACCCAGAAGTGATGCTACTGCTCATTTTGCTTTGGTGAAACAATATCTCTTTTTCAATGTCTTTCAAAATTTTTTTAATTAAATCACTGTGAGATACTCAGTAAGTTGTTTATGATTGGGTTTTGGTAATACAGTGTTCCAACACCCATCACCAGTATACATTTCCCACCACCAATGTCCCCAGTTTCTCTCCTCCCCTCCCCCCACCTAGTCTGCAGTGGGCACTTTTCTTCTCTCTCCCTCTCTCTCTCTTTCTCTCTCTCCCTCTCTCTCCCTCCCTCTTTCTCTCCCTCCCTTCCCCCCCTTTCTTTTTGCACATTATGGTTTGCAGTACAGTTTCTGAAAGGTTATCATGTATATCTCTTTACCACTTTCAACATTTAATTCTTGTCCAGAATGATCATTTCCAAATATCATTGTCACAGTGGTCCCTTTTTTATCCTAAACTGTCCTTTTCCCCACACTTGTGGCAAACTTCCAACTGTGGGTCAGTCCTCCTGATCCTCATTTCTATTGTCCTTAAGTAATAGTCTCATATTAGTCGCACAAATGAGTGCAGTTATTCTACATCTGTCCCTCTCCTTCTGACTCATTTCACTCATTATGATATTCTCTGTGGCTGTGAGTTTCTAACAGAAAAGCAGCATGGGCGTGCTGGGACTTGAGTGTTCAGTGGACGAAAACCAATTCCCTGACCATCTCACAGCAATGAACAGACCAAAGAACTGGGGAAACTGAAGAAACAGGGCCCAGTAGTCTGTTTATTTCTCTCTCCTCCCCAATATAGTCTGATCTCTCTCCTTAGAGCACAATCATAGTCGTGGTTTTAATCATAGTCCCAGTCACCATAGTTCCCTCATCCTCGTCCTCATTGTCCTGTCTTCCTTATCTTCTTCCTAGTTCTCCTAGATCTCAAAGTCTTTATCCTTCCCTCACAGCATAGTTATACAGAAATCATGAAGGGAGGGGTACCCATAGGTGGGGTTGAACATTGTCATAACAACAAACAGAGGTAAAGCCCCCTCCTTCGGGAGACGTTCTAGGAAATTAACTCAGAACAAAATCTCATCTGAGGGCTCAGCACTCCAGATTACTAAGAGATCCTCTCAAGGGCAGGACTCCATCTAGGGTGTATTGCTTTCTCCTCCCCTCAGCTAGTAATCCATTTAAACAATAATAGTAAGTTTACTTCCTATAATGTTTCTAGTCATTTTGTATCAACACAGTAAGAGATATATTAAGCTTAAAGGTTGGCTCTTCCCAGGGACATCTTGATATATATCCCAGACTACAGTCCGCAGGCCAGGTTAGTCTTTCCTAAACCCAGCAGGGTACTTATTTAGTTACTTCTTTTTTGAGTAATGACAGAGTTTGTTCCATGATCATGCTCTTAACTTATACTTATGGTGTTTAGCTTGTCCCTTTTGATGCCAGGATGGTTTACAGGTTGCCCTGGGTCCATCCAGTCCCTTTAGCAGGACCCTGCTTTTGGAGTGCTAGGAACCAAGGGCAAATGAGAATTAAGTCAAGTAAATATGGATAGATGCCCAGGAGTAAATATTATTTGGAGTCAATTAACTCTCATATTACAAAAGCATAGCATCAACTGCCTTCTTGTGTCTATACAAAAAGGACATTGTTAAATAAACCATGCAAAGGACAGAAAGGAAAGAGAAAAGCAATATAGTATCATTAGTGCTTGATGGAGTTGGGCGTGTGTCAGGGACACTGTTGTGGGAGTAACTCAATAAACAAACCTAAGCTCCCTGTGGGAGGAGCACGAACAACCCAATGTTATCCAACACATGTATAAGCAAATCTCATGACTTCATTTTTCCTGGTAGCTGTGTAGTATTCCATTGTCTAGATATACCACAGTTTCTTTATCCAGGCATCTGTTCTCAGATTGTTTCGAGATTCTAGCTATTTTCAATAGTGCTGCAATGAACATAGAAGTTTATGCTCCATTTTTAAAATGTAGGGCAGGGGCTAGGGATGTATTTCAGTGATAGAAAGTGTGTCACTCTCTCTCTCTCTCTCTATCTCTCTCTCTCTCTCTCTCTCACACACACACACACACACACACACTAAAGAAAGAGGCAAGGAAGGAAGGACAGCAAGCAAACAACACATGTTGTGCCCAGATAGCAAAAGACAATTATATATTCTGTAGTATTTAATTTCCCTGCAATTGGGAAGCCTATAATTTCGTAGAAGGGCGTAAAACATTGAATGGTTTCAAAACTATAGACAATAATTTCTATTAAATGTTACAAATACTAATACCCACCAACATTTGATTCATCAATGTATTAGGAACTATTTCAAACATTTTATGGATTCTGTTTAAACATAACACACCATAAAGTTATTGTAAGTTTGCAATGAAAAAACTAATATATACTTAGAATTATAAAATAAGTATAAAGATGTATAAAGGAAACCAAAAGATATTATAATACATTATTGCAGGGAGACTTGCTCTCCTTAATGGGGTCAGACATAAAACTTTCCTGTAACTCTGTAGTCAAACCTTGTAGCCAAGGCCAGGTTATTCATAGAATTCTCCCGGTTCTTTTTATAATACTCTATTGGGATAAAAATCTAAGATAAATCTTCCCTTTACTATCTTCTATTTTTTTATTATTCAAATGATTTCTTATGTATAGACTTCTAATGTCTTATAAAAAGTGCTCTTGGATGACTTCGTTTTTATACCCTGAATTAATTACAACTTAAAGATAATGCTGGGTAATATGTTAGAAAATATAGGTGTGTTGCTCTGCACTCAGATACATAATGGCACAAGAGACACAGAATACGCTTCTTGAAA